TATTTTGTATTGAGTTATTTGTCTTGTTCTTTACTTTTTCCTTCCCTTTTCCCCAAATTGTATCAGATTCCAGACATCTGACATCTAAATTCTACAATGACAATTCTTATTTTATTAGGATCCCCAAAAGCAGCAGCTACTCTTTCTGGGGTCCACATAAAACATGACATAATACAGAACAATCATATACAAGAACAGCTCAAGGACAGAACAACATACATTTAAAATAAGAATAATATGTAACCGTTCACTCTTTCTGGCATTACCATATCACTGTAACCTGGTGTCCTTCTCAAAGCATAGGAGGTACAACTGTGAGTCACAAGGAACTGTGAGGGTTAATGCTACTAAACGTGATGATATTGTCAGACACAGCAGAGGGGGCCATTTGTCTGCCGAAGAAATGCATCAAGCCTTGTCCTCTAATCAGCAGCACCTTGTTACAAGCTAAGATGTCTGTGGCTACATTCCCACACACAAAAAAAACTCAAAAAACTATTTCACATTAATTCAAGAGCCTCTCATATTATGTGCTGTTGTCAAAACCAGTTTTTATAAAAAGTCCTATATTCAGATAATTAATGTCATGTTTGGATTGATTAATCCAAAATCTCCATCCGGGAAAGATTGTAACTTTTGAATGTGAAATAGCTATTCATAAATAGCTATGTGGCTTTCTAATATGATCATCTTTTGCTAATATTACAAATATTTACAAATTGCGGCAGATTTCCTATGAAACCTTTTAGTTCAGATTGCCATCAGTTCTTATTGGCCTTTTATCAACCTCATTTCCTTTGTTCTAACTTACGTACGTATTATTATCTTTAAGTGGATTTTCCTGCCTTGTGGCATTGAGGTCATCACTGACCCATATGGACTCATCATCTTCATGTGCAGTTAGTTAGCTGTAGTCAGAAGACCTTGGACTATTGGGTCTTCCTAGTGTAGGGCATTGATAATCTTGTTCACTGGACACCAGCCATATGTCCTCTCTAGCCTATGTGAGGGAGGATAGAGAACTGAGAGTACAGGGAATAGTCATCTAGTCTGTACCCTTTTCAAATGCCTATTAACCAAAGAGGGATGGTATCATGTTCAAGTTCTGTAAATCCAGAGTGACAGTGTATAGCTTATTAATTAAAGGTGCAATCAGCAGTGGAAACAATAACAAAGTGTCATCCCTGCCACTGTTTCGGTAAAAAGCTGAGGGATGGGGCTGGTGAAATGTAACCAATCTCAAATTCATAGACAGACCTATAAATGCAAGATCTCCCCATCCATTATATCAACATTATAGTTTTAACCATGTTTTGAGGATATACAGTGTTTATTTACATTTACTTTGTTTACAAACATTGGAGTAAAACCAGGTTACATTTTGGGTTCTGATGGGTTAGGACATTTGAACTAAGCTCATGAGGCATTTATAAGTTATATTCTTCAAGAATCAATGGGTACATATCACTAATTTATAAGTACAAAAATGTATGCAGCAATTGCAGTTTGCTCCTTTAATGTACAGTACCGTTGGATTAAGCTGTGGATGTATTCATCATGTCTACCTATGTCAACATTTTCCATTCAGAAGTCCTCTGTTTGCAATCCACCTTAATAACCAGTTCATAATGAATACACAGAGGGCATGGTTCAAAGAAAGATAAGTGATTTCCTGTCTTAACTCATTCTGTCATTAATAACTCTCAAACTACCTCTAATTGGAATCTGGGCGGGTGGCCCAATGGGAGCAGTGGATGCCGAGGCATGCTGTTGAGTAAACACATGCAACGTGTTACGAGACCTACTGCCTGGAAATTTACAAGGCACTGAAAATCCTGCCTGGGTGCGCATTGACACATTATACCATTACACAACTTTTTTCCCATGAAACAAGATGCTTCTTGACTGTCTTCACTTTGTGACCAATATTGTCTCATTGAAATGTACACTGTCTGAGACGAGACAGCATCTAAGGAATTCTTCAAATGGCTCTTTGTTTGCCTGGCACAGAAACAATGTATTTGTTCTGCACCACAGATTAGATTGAATTACAGACTGAAGCTCCCTGCTCCTTACCTAAAGCCAACTCCCTCGCGCAGGTGCTGTTGCTAAGAGACGCAGACACAAATATGGAGGCTTTGCGAGGCACTGCAATCCTCCAGAGTAGTTCAGTCAACTTTTCGATACAGCATGCCTTATCGTCAGGGTATCCTGCTAATGCAGTTGCAAAACACCATTCAAATAAACTAAAATTTTCATCTGTGGATAGCACCTTAGTTCCTTGTAGATTAATAGAAGTGATTGATAGATTTATCATTACCATGCAAATGTTTATGCATCTGCTATGTGATTGTGATCCTGTCACCCTGAGGGTTTGATAGTGGTTCATTTGTTAATTTATGAGGCTGTGAACAGGAACACACCTGGAGCTCTGGTGTTGTTAATGGAAATAAAGCACGGCCACCGTACAGCATGTTTTAAGGCAGCAGTCATTAAACTGGCTCCAGGAATTTGAGGCCTAGTAAATTATACATTTTGTTTCACTCATCTGCTTGGAGCATGTTATCCTCTTTCAACAGCCGCATGGCATGCCAAGCTAGTTCTAGGGCAGGGGTGAGCAATCCTATCTGAAAAGGACTGGTGTGGCTGCAGGCTTTTGCTCCTTGTCCTGTTTTAGGATACACATGATCTGTGTTTCATGAGTCACAGAAGACATACACTATATGGGAATACACTATATGGGAATATGGGCGTTATTCTCAAAGCATTATACCCTGATGAAAACAGCTTGTCTGTCGAAACGTTGGTTATTAGGTTATTAAATTATTTCATCTGAGCTCCTAGAGTGTGCGGCTCTCATATTATTTTTCAAGTGTTCTACTCCGCTAGCCAGCACCTCACCTAAACAGGTGTTCTACTCCGCTAGCCAGCACCTCACCTAAACAGGTGTTCTACTCCGCTAGCCAGCACCTCGCCTAAACAGGTGTTGTACTCCGCTAGCCAGCACCTCTCCTAAACAGGTGTTCTACTCCGCTAGCCAGCACCTCTCCTAAACAGGTGTTCTACTCCGCTAGCCAGCACCTCTCCTAAACAGGTGTTCTACTCCGCTAGCCAGCACCTCGCCTAAACAGGTGTTCTACTCCGCTAGCCAGCACCTCGCCTAAACAGGTGTTCTACTCCTCTAGCCAGCACCTCGCCTAAACAGGTGTTGTACTCCGCTAGCCAGCACCTCGCCTAAACAGGTGTTCTACTCCGCTAGCCAGCACCTCGCCTAAACAGGTGTTCTACTCCGCTAGCCAGCACCTCGCCTAAACAGGTGTTCTACTCCGCTAGCCAGCACCTCGCCTAAACAGGTGTTCTACTCCGCTAGCCAGCACCTCTCCTAAACAGGTGTTCTACTCCGCTAGCCAGCACCTCTCCTAAACAGGTGTTCTACTCCGCTAGCCAGCACCTCTCCTAAACAGGTGTTCTACTCCGCTAGCCAGCACCTCTCCTAAACAGGTGTTCTACTCCGCTAGCCAGCACCTCTCCTAAACAGGTGTTCTACTCCGCTAGCCAGCACCTCTCCTAAACAGGTGTTCTACTCCGCTAGCCAGCACCTCTCCTAAACAGGTGTTCTACTCCGCTAGCCAGCACCTCTCCTAAACAGGTGTTCTACTCCGCTAGCCAGCACCTCTCCTAAACAGGTGTTCTACTCCGCTAGCCAGGACCTCTCCTAAACAGGTGTTCTACTCCGCTAGCCAGCACCTCTCCTAAACAGGTGTTCTACTCCGCTAGCCAGCACCTCTCCTAAACAGGTGTTCTACTCCGCTAGCCAGCACCTCTCCTAAACAGGTGTTCTACTCCGCTAGCCAGCACCTCTCCTAAACAGGTGTGCGTTTCTTTCGCCTCCATGTTATTCTCAAAGCAACATGAAAATGTACAGTAGGTTCATAACTTCATCAGCAGGCAACGTGTGCTGGCACTGTGGGGAAGCCTCACTTTTATTCCACTCATAATGTTAATCAAAAGTTGCAGAGTTGATGCCACAGCCTTCTTGCCGCCCTAACACCATGAATGTTGTGCTTTCATTTCAGTCTCAAGTGTGATACAGTAAATATTTATGTTTTTTTGTTCTATCTCCTTGGAAACCATTTGACCTCTTAATATGATTTTCGGGCGCTGATTGAATTACTCCTGCATGTAGCTGTGCAGTTTTCCTTGCCGGGGAAGCAATGTAGAAGTGGGAGAGATTCCTCCTTGCCACATTTCAAACCATCTGTCAGGTCCCAGTGAAACCTTACAGGCAGCTCAGTCAATTTCACAGTTACAGAGCACACTGGAGTAGCTAAATATAATACTGTATATCTCTGCATACACCATTATACATTAATTTAGGCTACTAGGCCTAGTATTTTGCTACTGCTACAATAGTTTACAGAACTGTACTACATGTTTCTACATGACACTTTTAAATCTAGTATATTTTTTAGTAGAGCTATGGGTGTATATAGACATTACTGTGACAAAGAAGGAACACTTTTAGACATGCCTAACAAATGGCAATCTGAATGAGAGCATTGAATAGGACCTACTTATTTTGGTAAGTGTCATAAATTACAGGTTACTAAGGCCTGGGAACATTTCATTTCAATTCATATGCCACAGGCTGAAGAGGGTCAGTCAACCACAGTCAAATTGTGATAGTGGACACATTTACAAGTGAACTATTAACTGTGACAATGTTACTAAAGAGTTGTACATTCAGAATAGGTTGTGGGAAAAGGCACACACAAGTAGACGATACCAATATGGGGGGTAATGATGTAGTTTATATTGAACTAGAAATATAAGTAAATACATGTGTAATGAATGGCAAGAAACATGCTGAATCTATTAAATAGTATCTGTATAAGCACGGTTACGTTTAATTGTTCAAATTAGCTACAACACTGTGGAATCAATAGTTGCTTCCTCCCTCTGCGTAAGAAATGGTTTCGCTGAACGCGGATTTTGTTACAATGTTCCAGCGAGTCTGGAGTTTCATGCGGTTGCTCAGTCACACTGCCATCGCCGCTGTGGAGGCAGCAGTGCGAATGAGGATCGACACACTTTTCTGGTCCTTTGTTGCGGAAATCGAAGATGACTTAACTTCGACAGACTCTCAGCTGGCCAGGTAGTAAGCCATCCATCCCGACATCATATTGTCTTATGAATCGGTAGGCTACTCTTGAGAATGTATGCTAATCCTCTTTTGGGTGTCTTTGTTGCGGGAAGTAGTTTGTTGATTGCTGAAGTTTGCTTGAGCTTTTTTTCCATGCAAGAAGCATATAATCTTGTTGCTTATGGCTAGAGAAAGTTAAATATTGTCAACAATAGAACTTGGGAAGTGTTGCTTGCTTGTGATCCATGCTATCAAAATATGTGCTTGGGAAATTACATTTTCCGGGATTACATTGAAAGGCTGTAACCCCAACACAAATGGTTATCCTGTTTTATTTCTCTTAAAATAGCCTACTGCACAATGTAATTGAGGAACAAGGCAAATACCGTGTTGCGATGCTGCGTAAACTTGCTTGCTTTCCAGCTGCCGGTTGCGCATGTCTCCACTGTAGTAGGACAGCGCCTAGTCATATAGCAGAACAGAGAGGAGTTGATTGAGAGATCATTTGCGTTGTGAGCTGCGCAGTGCTTGGGCCACTGGGACAAAAGCCTTCCTGTATTCAAGGCTCCATCTCTGTAACCCGGTTCCGTTGGTCCTACTTCACTCAACTTAACCCCCCTCTCAAACCCGCACTAGTACTATTTTTTTCCCCCGCTGCTCTCACCATGCCTGTGTAGCACATGGGGATGTGTGAAACTTACTTCTCAGCCTGAAGTGTGACCACTTGCAGCTGACTGCTAGCTTTTCGCGTGGTGCTGACTGGTAAGACAGTTTCAGGAGGGTGGTCACATGTGCTAGCAAGGCAGTGGTCCTGTGTTCGAGCCAAAGGTGCGTGACCCAGATCCACAGTTGTGCTCAGCTAAACGCTGGGGGCGCTGTTGAGTACATTTGAGGGGTGAATGTAGCACATTGGGATGTGTGAAACTTACTCCTCAGCCTGAAATGTCACCACTTGCACTGCCAAATTGCTAGCTCTTAATTTTTTTATTTCACCTTTATTTTAACCAGGTAAGCCAGTTGAGAACAAGTTCTCTTTTGGTGTCACGCCGACTAGTAAGACGCTTTACGAGGGTGGCAAGGCAAAGGTCCAAGTCTTGTGTGAGCCGAATCAGAAGGTACTCACTAAGCAAGCAGTGTGACATCCTTTACACCTGCATACCCTCAAATATCCAGAGCGGGAATTGTAGAGCTGGATATGTTGTTATTATGGTTGTAGGCACATTGGGGTTTGTAAGTTGTCCCGCTGTCATTTTTTAAAATACATTTTAGTCATTTAGCAGACGCTCTTATCCAGATCGACTTACTGTTAGTGCACACATTTTTCATACTGGCCCCCTGTGGGAATCGAACCCACAACCCTGGCGTTGCAAGCGCCATGCTCTACCAACTGAGCTACAGGAGGCCTACATGTCATGGTGTGTGCCTGTAACCCTTGTCTGTTTCAAGAATTTCCAGTTGGAGGGAAGTGTGTCTTTCTTATCTCATTTTGTTGACACCCTCCTCTGCACTGCAACCTTAGAAAAGATTGATAGTCATTTGAGGTGTTCCATGAGTCACACACACACCCCCTTACAGAAAAACCACATGATTTCACATGTGTAAAATCACATGATTTCAGTGAAATTGTTTTTGGAACACTTCACATGTTTTCAAGTGTAGTTTCATGTTATCACATAAACTTCATATAAGATCACATCCCACTGGAAACACACTGGTTCAATGAAATTATTTTGAACCAACGTGGAATATATGTTGAATTGACGTCTGCCCAGTGGGATGTGATCACATGAAAACATGTGTTTTTGGAACACTTCACGTGACATTCATGTGGGTTTTCCGTAAGGGCACACACACACAAACACACTGCGCAAGACTTCACACTCTAGGCTATACAAATAAATAATAAAGAGAGTTGCACACTATATATAAGCTCTCAGTAATTTATTGGGTAAACCAATGTTTCGGCATCACTGTGATGGCACATGAGAAGGCACTGTGATATTAGGTTCATGGTTTACCTAATAAATTACTGGGAGCTTGTATATAGAGTGTGCAACTCTCTTGATTTTTATAGCCTACAGTTTACTCGCCGTTAGTCAGCACCTCTACTAACTGTTTTGAGTGTGCGCCAGCTCATGCTTTTCACAAGACTTCACACTCAACAACATATTTCAGCCTTTTATCGTAATTGAGTTCTGTAATTAACATCATCCTTCTTGTTTATAGTTTTGCAGAGGAGGGGTTGCAGCAGGGATGTCTTGATATGAGTCATTTTGTTCTTTGTTTGTGTTGCTGAATGGAATGAAACTCCGAGACTTGTGAGAAAACACTTTACATGCAACTTTGAAGGTGTTCTGAATGGTATGGTTCAGTTTCAAGGAGCTCAGACAACCAAACCACTCCTCTGCTCTCTTAACAAAACAAAGTGTTGAGATCGAGGAGTTGGCAGGGAAATGCTGTATTGTTAGATTGCATTGTTTTTGGAGTCATGTTTTGGATCATGGTTGGAGTGTGTAATGTAATTGCGTGGCTACATAATGTTTGGGTAGGCCTACACTGATTAAAGTACCACTGACAATGGTACACTTTGACTACGGGTTTGCCAGGGTCGTTTCCTTTGGGACTAGGGAAGTTATTGTTTTTGCCCTCTTGTTATGTTGTGGGAGAGATGGTTGATCTTTACTTCATGAACTAAATACCAGACAGTACCGGTTTTGTACCAGGATGGCCTGAAATTCCATGGAACGCTTACAGTGTACTTGTCTGTGTCTGCTCTCACCTTACTGGGACAGGAAGGAGGTATGTGGGTTTATACACCTCTGTTCTCTCTAGGTTTACTGAGGGGGTTATTGGCAAGTAAACTAAAGTGTAGTTTTAGTGAATGCGCCATGTACATACAGTAGTTGACCTTTCCGTTTCTTGCTTGCATGTGAAAACTAATCTCAGTTCAACTGGCAAACTAGGTGCAAAGTCAGGCTGAGATTGGATCAGCTCTAGTATCTAATTACAAAGGGGATGTTGATAGGTGTAGACCACCAGGCTTGTGTGTGTCTGAGACAGTCTAAGGGCTGTTTGTTGAGGACAGAACAGTTTATTGTGTGTTGGTTCATACTTCTCAGCTATGGTGGTAAACACAGTTATGATGACTAAGGCCATGTCTACACTTGACACTTACATGTGACTTCTGCTATCAGAATACGAAGCTCACAATGAAAAGACAGGTCTACACACACAAAAGTCGCTTTGTGGTTTGATTGTGTTCAGATCTGGCTGACCACTTCAGGATGTGGTCAGAGATGCATTGTGTGCCGATTTCTCCTCAGTCTGGACACAATCCGGCTACCAAAAGCGCATACAGTGGGCAACGTCATAAGCACTCCTCCCACAAGTCTCCAGAATACTTGGGTTTTGGGACCAAGAGGCACCTTTTCATTATAACGTTGGAGAAAATACATTCCTAGCATGTGGGGAAGGTGTTTGCTGGCCTCATAAATGCTAGCCAGCCAGCTAATATTTAGAAAAACAATTTTCTGTTAGGCTAGAGTTAAGCTAACTAGTTTGCACTCCCTTTAGCGTTGCTTGCTGGCTAGCTACAGAGGTTAGCTGGCTACTTCACTACAGTAGTTAGCTACTTCCATCAGCTGTTGTGTTATAATCATATTTAGCCTATTCCACCATTTGTAGAATGCATACTGGCATTTGAATATAGCGCGGAAACAGACACAATGTGGACAGGGTGGACACATCTACATTTAAATGTAGACGCATGATGTGTTCGGAATTCCATGATAAGAACTCCATTATCAGAATACAAAAGTTGCATGAACTGTCAAGTCTAGACAAGGCCTAAGCTTCCTCTTGCTTGTGATACGCAGCATTGTTTAGTGTCACAAAGATTGAAGAGCATATCTTCCTCAAACCTTTCCAGACAATCTGTTGATATCAAACAACTGTGCTATGTCTAATTTTGTTGTATGCACTTGCAGGGTAAAGTACAACTTTGTAAACAAATAATCTTTCAGAGTATAGGCCTCATTCAAGGAGTCTCTGTCTATGTTTCTGTCAAAGTAGATTTGCATGACAAGCACGATCTACCAAACTATCCACTGCAGTGTTAAAAAATGGTTTTCCTTGCTTCAATGTCTTCTTTTTAGCACAGTAAAGTCTGAAATGCTGGAATCTACATGTGAAAGAGTCAAGTCGAACAGGGTTGTCTCAGATAGCTAGGCAGGCGGTAGGCAGACAAGAGGGACTTGTTTTGGACATGGGATAGCTGCAGTAATTTATGGAGGTAATTAAGCAGAGTTAGTTTTTAAAGGGGATCACTCTGTGCTCCTGTGTGTGCTTAAGACGCACACATTTGCAAGGCTTTTGTGTGCGTGTCCCTATTAAGGCTTCATTCTCTGAGTGGGCAGCTGTGTGCCTGTCTGCGAGGCACTGGACCATACTCTCCCTCGCTCTCTCTGTAGCCCTCTCACTTTATCTCTCTCCTTTGCTCTCTCCCCTCTCTTTCTTTCTGTGGTTCCCTGGCCAAGGCGTTATGCAAAGCCTCCAGAAAAAAGGATTGTTAGCCATGCCAGTCTGTGCCTCTGTGTTGCACACATTTGATTTTAACGACAGCCCTTTCTCTCTTTCTGTGTGACCTTCAGTCATAACTGCTCTGCTTCGCCCACAGCGTCAAAAGCAGTGAGCTGAGTTCAAAACAAAAAGTAATGTTCCACGGTTCCCCCCACGTTTCTGTGTGTATACACTACCAGTCAAAAGTTTTAGAACACCTACTAATTCAAGGGTTTTTCTTTATTTTTACTATTTTCTACATTGTAGAATAATAGTGAAGACATCACAACGATTAAATAACACATGGAAACATGTAGTAACCAAAAAAGAGATTCTTCAAATAGCCACCCTTTGCCTTGATGACAGCTTTGCACACTCTTGGCATTCTCTCAACCAAGCTTCACCTGGAATGCTTTTCCAACAGTCTTGAAGGAATTCCCACATATGCTGAGCACTTGTTGGCTGCTTTTCCGTCACTCTGCGGTCTGACTCATCCCAAACCATCTCAATTTGGTTGAGGTCGGGGGATTGTGGAGGCCAGGTCATCTGATGCAGCACTCCATCACTCTCCTTCTTGGTAAAATAGCCCTTACACAGCCTGTAGGTGTGTTGGGTCATTGTCCTGTTGAAAAACAAATGATAGTCCCACTAAGCCCAAACCAGATGTGATGGCGTATCGCTGCAGAATGCTGTGGTAGCCATGCTGGTTAAGTGTGCCTTTTGAAAAAATAAAAAAATAAATGACAGTGTCACCAGCAAAGCACCCCCACACCATAACACCTCCTCCTCCATGCTTTACGGTGGGAAATACACATGCAGAGATCATCCGTTCACCCACACCGCGTCTCACAAAGACACGGCGGTTGGAACCAAAAATCTCCAATTTGGACTCCAGACCTAAGGACACATTTCCACTGGTTTAATGTCCATTGCGCGTGTTTCTTGGCCCAAGCAAGTCTCTTCTTATTATTGGTGTCTTGTAGTAGTGGTTTCTTTGCAGCAATTCGACCATGAAGGCCTGATTCACACGGTCTCCTCTAAACAGTTGATGTTGAGATGTGTCTGTTACTTGAACTCTGTGAAGCATTTATTTGGGCTGCAATTTCTGAGGCTGGTAACTCTAATGAACTTATCCTCTGCAGCAGAGGTAACTCTGGGTCTTCCATTCCTGTGGCGGTCCTCATGAGAGCCAGTTTCATCATAGCGCTTGATGGTTTTTGCGACTGCATTTGAAGAAACATTCAAAGTTTAGACTGTCATTTCTCTTAGCTTATTTGAGCTGTTCTTGCCATAATATGGACTTGGTCTTTTACCAATTAGGGCTACCCCCCCCCCCCCCCCCCCCACCACCTTGTCACAACACAACTGATTGGTTCAAACGCATTAAGAAAGAAAGAAATTCAACAAATTAACTTTTAAGAAGGTACATCTGTTAATTGAAATGCATTCCAGGTGACTACCTCATGAAGCTGGTTGAGAGAATGCCAAGATTGTGCAAAGCTGTCATCAAGGCAAAGGGTGGCTATTTGAAGAATCTCAAATATAAAATATTTTGATTTGTTTAACACTTTCTTGGTTACTACATGATTCCATATGTCTTATTTGATAGTTTTGATGTCTTCACTATTATTCTACAATGTAGAAAATAGTAAAAATAAAGAAAAACCCTTGAATGAGTAGGTGTTCTAAAACCTTTGACCGGTAGTGTATAGATCTCATTTACATGATGCATTTGTAAATATTACGTCTCGAACACCCACAGATTCTAAGATGGACTACTGAGAACAAAGGAGGCATTCTGGCGTACATCATTTTCTTCATTACCACTGATTGGTGAGAGGCCTGATACGAAGCCTTATGATGAGATGGACAAACACCTCTAATGGACAAACCCTGAATTCCCTGTTGACAACTGAAGTGACTTCATGTTTTGTTTTTGTTTTTTTCCGTTCACTATCATAAGACGTCTGTTATGAATGACAAATGAGTAATTCTGTTTATTCTCCACCTTCTCCTTTCTTCCTGCTTTTCTTAACGACACCGCATATCTCCTGAATCATTCAATGTTTGGTTAGACTTTCTGTTGATTCTGTCTAGAGCGTAATCCCTCAATAATACACCCCTAAAAGATTTATAGAACCTTTCTGTTGTTTTATGGTGCAGACAGTCTAAATAAAAGGATTAGCGAGAAGAACCTGTTTTCCATGCTATTTCTGAAGCAGTGGCCTGCACTTCTCAGTTTTTCACAGTATTTGCCACAGTTTCTCTGCCAAGATGTTTCGCCTCTCACAATTGTGAGGTTTAATGAGCTGAGTGAAATCAGGTTTCTTCCATCTCAGTTGTAGTTATAATGGTAGCTAAGTTAGTGTTGGTGTGTTTTGGCAATCTCTTTGCACTACACCTTCATCTTTTACATTATGTGAACGTATAACTTGATTATTACAGTGTTACACTTTACTATGCAAAACTTAGCAATCATCTCTAATGTATAATTTAGCAGGATCAATACTTGATTGTGATGGCTGTGTGTCAGGAGAGGAGACACACCTGTAGATGTGTGTAGGAGGCACCTGCAGGTCATTAGTAACACAAACACAAGCATGACAACCAGTCATTAGTAATACAAACACACGCATGACAACCGGCCTGGCGGAGATAAGACAGAGTACAGAAAGATCAACGCATTCTCAGCTGCTGAAAATGAAATTCTCACACATTTACATTAAGATTATAAAAAAGCTGAAGGTGGTCATCTGCCATTATATTAGTATGAAAGTATTGTATGGAAAGAATAACAAATATCTTAATCCATCTATTTTTACTATTTTCTACATTGTAGAATAATAGTGAAGACATCAAAACTATGAAATAACACATATGGAATCATGTAGTAACCAAAAAGGTGTTAAACAAATCAAAATATATTTTATATTTGAGATTCTTCAAATAGGCACCCTTTGCCTTGATGACAGCTTTGCACACTCAGTTTTGTCATAGTTTGGTTGAGTATAAAACTATCACTTAGAATTCATTTGTTGGCAGTCTAGAGTAATGCATTACTCATAAAACATGTTTAGAACTTTGATTATTCAGAAACATAAAATACCGCCATACCGTCAAAATAATATGATATTTTGGCCATATCGTCACCCTCCACCCCAACACACACCCACACCATTCATCCCCTAGCTCCCCCCAAACGAGTCCTGCAGCGTTATGTAACTATCTTGGAGGGGTGTGCTACCCGGGACGTGGAAGTTACTTTCTGTATAACGTCACCTATTTAAACACCGTAGGAGTGGCCCCCTTCCTTAGCCTTAATGGAGTCCTGTGAGGGGGGTTAACCATCATGGTCTGGTCTGGAGGCTCTCATGTAACATATCCCTAGTGGATTAGGGCCTGGTTAATGTGCATAGAGCAACCTGTCAGGGGTAATGGGAGAAACCACATGCTGAGGGAGCGATGGGTGAGGGGATGAGAGAGGAGGTAATTAGTGGGGTACCTGATGTGAGGAGAGCCCTGGAATGCAAAGGGTTTTCCAGAAGGGGGGCCTCTGGCCTGTACCTCCTTTATAATCACACACTTGGACCCACCCGGTTCAGTCTTGTTCTATAGAAAGGGATGATTTAAGAAGAAGTGATCCTACATCAGCTTTGACGAGCATAGCATCATTACAGCTCATACTGGACAGCAACACTTTTTGCAGTGTCTGGTGTCCATCTCTCAAGCCTGAACTAATGTAGTCCATTGATATGTACTGTTTAGATATGACATAGTCCTAGTTTATAACATCCAGGTCAGAGGTTGGCCTTTTTCAACATGAGCACATGTCCGCATAATGCTGCATATGTTACCCATCCATACTGTAGCATGCCTGCCCATTGTCGACTAGGAATTGTATAGATCAACCAGCAGCACTGTACTGTAGTGAGGAAACACAGACAGATGTTGCTGCAGTAGTTTGAAAAACATCTGGGTGGATGTGTTGACAATGTCTTTATGTGTACTGTGTGGACAATAAAAGTGGATGTGAAGGCATGATGGGATATTGCACAAGTTGACTGTGTTCCTCCTTTTCTGATTGAGGGGCAGTGTGTGTGTGTGTGGCACCAGATACAGTATCTGTGTGTGAGAGACTGATTATAGCTTTGACAACACTTTGTTGATTTCCTTTCGCGGCTTTTCTTATCACATGTTAGCTAATGAAGTTGCTGCTGCTCACCAGCACCCTGAAATAGAGTGCTGACTGGTAAGCACAGGGGAAGTGTTATTTGTGTATGTGTCAGTAACTTTTTAAAATGGCAACACATTTTGCACTCCCATGTGGGGGGGGGGGGTTGACATATCAGTGCCATGGAAACCTTTCTCAAGAAAGGTGTGTTTCTCTCTCTCTGTTGTTTTTCTCCCTTTGTCACAGGACTGGGTTGTCATGGTCACTGCTCTTCTTTCAGAGATAAAGAAGTCAATGGCCTTTCAAAGTGCTCATAGAGATAGAGCCTTTATTTGTGTAGAATTGACTTAAAGGCCAAAATCAACCGCAGTTACCGCACATCAAGTCAGACGATGTCAAGTAAAAAGTTGAATGAATGAGAGCTGCTTTGTTTGTGTTCTCACCAAGCTCCTGTTGCATGATGGGTTGTCGTTTTGGGACAAAGTGTCCAGCCAACGGGTGCTGGGGTGATGGCCGGAGGGCGGCTTGGTATGCCGTGACCTCTCCAGCCCCGTTTTACGACCTCATCCTCAACATGAGAAAGGGCTGACCCAGCGTTAACTCTTCATGCCCACACAGACGCTGTCTGAGACTTTCACTAGAGAGTGATAGCTCTCCTGTACAGTAACCACATCCAATCAGTGATGGACACCAAACACTGTGCCACAAAAACCTTACAGGGCCTGATATTGTCCCCCCAGGTGCCCATTCACACTTCACACACAGGAAGCAGGGCGAGTAGCGACGACATCATCACATCTTCCAAAAACATAGCAGACATTGGATGAATATAAAATGTTAAAGCTGCAATATGTAACTTTTTCACCAAATTCACATAGAAATGTGAGTTATAGATCTGTCATTTTCATTGAAAGCAAGTCTAAGAAACAGTAGATCATCTACATGCGCTATTTCTATGCTTCCAGTTCTTAAGTTTAGTTTTTGCGTCTTGTACTTTCGGTTTTGTACACCAGCTTCAAACGGCTGAAAATACAATATTTTTGTTTATGTGAAAGAGATTTCACAGTGGTTTAGATGGTACAATGATTCTCTACACAATGGCCTCTTGTTTTACCACAAACTGAAATTGGGCGAACTATTAGAATTTTAGCAACCAGGAAATGGCGGAGCGTTTTCTGCATATTGCACCTGTAATATCTTGGAAAAAGTGATGGGAAAATAATCGGCCTCAGCGACAATTATTTGAATAATTCAATGGGTGTTTTTTGCACAAAGGTGATGACTAAAGTGTCTTATTAGGAATTTTCAAATCTGACTTCTCTATGTGGCCGTCTATGGAAATTGGCTTTCTGGGCCGGGGGTCTGTTAAACTGCAGTACCGAAGCAAAACTGTAGGAGCAGTAGAAACCGTGCTTCTAGACCGGAACCCTGGCCCCTTAGCATGGTGCCGTTACTAGTACTGGCCTTTCTGCCTCTCCTCAGTAATTGACCATTGAGAGCCAAGGGGCCTGTCCCCAGACCCAACTTCTATGATGAAGAAAAATCTGGTTAGAATTACTGTTAGGTACAGTACTTCCCCTATGGAATTGGATTATATTTAGCTTTTTTCCCTTTAGGGATTTATAAATGCAATTACTATTGCCATTTAGTATGATCCTTTTTGGACCTTAACCTGAATTGGAGCCAACAAGTCTGCAGTAGAATTTATCCAGATATGGAACATGATTTAGGCCTTTACACTCATGGGAATTGGCAAATATGGATAGGGCTAAATTGAAATGTTTCTTACAGAAGAAATATGAAAAGCATATGCATAACCATGGTAGCAATTGAAAGGGAACAGTTTGGAGATAATGGGAACATTATTAGACCAAAGGTGTGTACACTACAGACTGAATCCAAACATTTACTGTACTTTTCGCCACATTTGTTGTTAACAATCTGAAAATACTCTGGAAATTCAGTAACACGATAAGACTATTCCTGGAAAATGTGATGTAGGTTTGAATGAAAGGACTAACTGGTGTCTCCAAGTGGCAATTTCAATGCACGTTTATGACTCAAAGAAGAGACTTCAACTTTAAGGTACTGTGCCGTTGAGGAACTAGAGCAAGCACACTTGTAGTTGTTTCGTTCGGAACACAACCCTGCATCCCCACCATCACATAATTACTGTTATTTACGCAATCCAAAAATGGTCCACTATAAATCGCAATCTGGGTCAGGTAGGCATGATTTGAAAGCTTGTTCTATTGCCAAGATGCCTAGCTAAGTTATAAAATACGATCTTACAGTGTTAGACTTGCGCAAGGCAATTCAAAGAAACAGGTCGTAATTTTGGTGCCCATAGAAAGGAGTCTGGTATGTTTGCCGCGGCGACTTTTCTTCACAATAAACAAACAGGCTCATTCTGTTGAAAACAACCCAGAGTATGACGCCATGGTATCTTGTAACTGTACACCAAACATAGTGATCATAAACGGTGACAATATATGATTTTGACATGTTAAGTGCCCATTTGGACTCACGGGTGTTTGGCTTGCTTGTATGACATCAAAGCTGTATTTTATTATAATCCTCAACATCTCATCTTTCAAAATACACTGAACAAAAATATAAACGCAACAACAATTTCAAAGATTTTACTGAGTTACAGTTCATATAAGGAAATCAGTCAATTGAAATAGCTCACTTGGTAGAGCATGGCATTTGCAACGCCAGGGTTGTGGGTTCGATTCCCACGGGGGGCCAGTATGAAAAAATGTATGCACTCACTAACTGTAAGTCGCTCTGGATAAGAGCCTGCTAAATTACTAAAATGTAAAAATGTACAGTTGAAACCGGGAAGAGCACACTTCTCCAGCGTGCCAGTGGCCATCGAAGGTGAGCATTTGCCGACTGAAGTCAGTTATGACGCCGAACTGCAGTCAGGTCAAGACCCTGGTGAGGACAACAAGCACGCAGACGAGCTTCCCTGAGACAGTTTGTGCAGAAATGATTTGGTTGTGCAAACCCACAGTTTCATCAGCTGTCCGGGTGGCTGGTCTCAGATGATCCCGCAGGTGAAGAATCCAAATGTGGAGGTCCTGGGCTGGCGTGGTTACACGTGGTCTGCTGTTGTGAGGCCGGTTGAACGTACTGCCACATTCTCTAAAACGACGGCTTATGGTAGAGAAATGAACATTAAATTCTCTGGCAACAACTCTGGTGGACATTCCTGCAGTCAGCATGCCAATTGCACACTCCCTCAACTTGAGACATCTGTGGCATTGTGTTGTGTGATGAAACTGTACATTTTAGAGTGGCCTTTTATTGCCCCCACCACAAGGTGCACCTGTGTAATGAGCATGCTGTTTAATCAGCTTCTTGATATGTTAAACTTGTCAGGTGGATGGATTATCTTGGCAAAGGAGAAATGCTCACTAACAGAGATGTAAACTAATTTGTGTACAAAATTTGAGAGAAATAAGCTTTTTGTGGGATCTATTTATTTCAGCTCATGAAACATGGGACCAACAGTTTACATGTTGTGTTCATATTTTAGTTGAGTCATCTCAATTTACGGCATTTCTCTCACTCAGAAAACAAAACATTTGCAAGTGTTGCCCAATTAGCGGGAGGGATAGGAGCAACCTCTTGTCGCTCGCGGTGCTCAAGTTCAGAACGTCTGTCAGTCAAAACCCTGTGAAGCGCAGAGCAAGATGTCATGTATAGTATGTTACTGTACAGCCACTACATTCTTATTAGTGCCCAAATCTGCCATTTTCAACCCGTCCTATATACAGTTGAAGTCGGAAGTTTACATACACTTAGGTTGGAGTCATTAAAACTCGTTTTTCAACCACTCCACAAATTTCTTTTTAACAAACTATAGTTTTGGCAAGTCGGTTAGGACATCTACTTTGTGCATGAAACAAGTAATTTTTCCAACAATTGGTTACAGACAGATTATTTCACTTATAATTCACTGTATCACAATTCCAGTGGGTCAGAAGTTTACATACACTAAGTTGACTGTGCCTTTAAACAGCTTGGAAAATTCCAGAAAATGATGTCATGGCTTTAGAAGGTTCTGATAGGCTAATTGACATCATTTGAGTCAATTGGAGGTGTACCTGTGGATGTATTTCAAGGCCTACCTTCAAACTCAGTGCCTCTTTGCTTGACATCATGGGAAAATCAAAAGAAATCAGCCAAGACCTCAGAAAAAGAATTGTAGACCTCCACAAGTCTGGTTCAACATTGGGAGCAATTTCCAAATGCCTGAAGGTACCACATTCATCTGTACAAACAATAGTACGCAAGTATAAACACCATGGGACCATGCAGCCATTATACCGCTCAGGAAGGAGATGCGTTCTATCACCTAGAGATGAACTTACTTTGCTGCGAAAAGTGCAAATCAATCCCAGAACAACAGCAAAGGACCTTGTGAAGACGCCGGAGAACACCATCCCAACCGTGAAGCACGGGGGTGGTAGCATCATGCTGTGGGGGTGCTTTGCTGCAGGAGGGACTGGTGCACTTCACAAAATGGATGGCATCATGAGGAAGGAAAATTATGTGAATAAATTGAAGCAAGACATCAGTCAGGAAGTTAAAGCTTGGTCGCAAATGGGTCTTCCAAATGGACAATGACCCCAAGCATACTTCCAAAGTTGTGGCAAAATGGCTTAAGGACAACAAAGTCAAGGTATTGGTGTGGCCATTACAAAGCCTTGACCTCAATCCTATAGAACATGTGTGGGCAGAACTGAAAAAGCATGTGCGAGCAAGGAGGCCTACAAACCTGACTCAGTTACACCAGCTCTGTCAGGAGGAATGGGCCAAAATTCACCCAACTTATTGTGGGAAGCTTGTTGAAGGCTACCCGAAACGTTTGACCCAAGTTAAACAATTTAAAGGCAAAGCTACCAAATACTAATTGAGTGTATGTCAACTTCTGACCCACTGGGAATGTGATGAAAGAAATAAAAGCTGAAATAAATAATTCTCTCTACTATTATTCTGACATTTCACATTCTTAAAATAAAGTGGTGATCCTAACTGACCTAAGACAGGGAAGTTTACTAGGATTAAATGTCAGGAGTTGTGAAAAACTGAGTTTAAATGTATTTGGCTAAGGTGTATGTAAACTTCCGACTTCAACTGCATGTGTATAAGTGTAAATGGCTAGCAGGCGTGGAACCATGGTAAAAATGTTACACGAGGCAATTGTAAGTTGAAAATGTACCACAGAAATGTGCCATTGTAGTCTTAAAATGTAGAACCACTAGGGTTTTGAGGATCCTCAAGTTCAGCAAGCAAATACAATTAGGTGGCGAGCATTGACCAGGAGGCCTAATGTGGCCAACAGAAGTCCTCCTCAGTCTCAGGGTGCTCCTTGTTCTGCATCATGTGGAATTGTTAAACATGGCTCCAGGGGGGAATTCTCACTGTGTTTGCCTTCTCCCATGACCCCCCGTAGCCACCACGGCTACAAACACACACACGTGTACACCTCAGTATACTCAGTCCCGTGTAGCTCAGTTGGTAGAGCATGGCATTTGCAACGCCAGGGTTTTGGGTTCGATTCCCACGGGGGGCCAGTATGAAAATGTATGCACTCACTAACTGTAAGTCGCTCTGGATAAGAGCGTCTGCTAAATGACTAAAATGTCCAGGTCCAGGGTCCGGTCACACTTGTCTTCCACTTCCTGACCCCATCACTCAAATGGCCCGCTGTTAAGACACACACTATACACTCACTCCACCACAGTGTTGTCTCACCCATATCTCAGTGTCACTACTAATCAGTAAACTAATAAGTAATATACTAATAAGTAATCTGAGTTGCCAGATAAAGAAGAACATTCTACCTCTCCCTGCCTCCCGCCTCCAGAGGCCCAGTCCTGCTCCACCGCCTCCTCCAGAGGCCCAGTCCTGTCTCCACCGCCTCCTCCAGAGGCCCAGTCCTGTCTCCACCGCCTCCTCCAGAGGCCCAGTCCTGTCTCCACCGCCTCCTCCAGAGGCCCAGTCCTGTCTCCACCGCCTCCTCCAGAGGCCCAGTCCTGTCTCCACCGCCTCCTCCAGAGGCCCAGTCCTGTCTCCACCGCCTCCTCCAGAGGCCCAGTCCTGTCTCCACCGCCTCCTCCAGAGGCCCAGTCCTGTCTCCACCGCCTCCTCCAGAGGCCCAGTCCTGTCTCCACCGCCTCCTCCAGAGGCCCAGTCCTGTCTCCACCGCCTCCTCCAGAGGCCCAGTCCTGTCTCCACCGCCTCCTCCAGAGGCCCAGTCCTGTCTCCACCGCCTCCTCCAGAGGCCCAGTCCTGTCTCCACCGCCTCCTCCAGAGGCCCAGTCCTGTCTCCACCGCCTCCTCCAGAGGCCCAGTCCTGCTCCACCGCCGCCTCCAGCCACCAGAGACCAAGTCCTGCTCCACTTACTCCCAGAGATACATGGAGAATGGGAATCATATGCTGGCAGTGGGCCTGCAGGGCTTGGCTGGCCCACATGAAACATTAGGAGGCTCCATGGGACCAGAGAGGAGAGAAGAGGACATGAGGAGGGGAATGGCCCCTGGACTCTTTTGCCCTTGTGGGTGGAGGACAGCCCACAGGGCCTGATGCCCTCCTTATTTCAACTCCTTTGTTTCCCACAGTTGGCAAGCACAGTACCCCCTTTGTCATATAGTATATTAATGCAACCTTAACGTCCAGTACATTCTGTCCTCTCCAACTGGCCCCATCCATTTTCTATCCACAGGCCTTACATGCTCTCTCTCCTCCCACTTCATTAAACCATATCTTATGGAGAACCCAGAACAGTCATGGTGTTAGTTGAGGAGCTCTGGAGGCTGTGGTAGCTGTGTATGTTGGCCCACAGTAGAAACTGCAAGCTGTCATTAGTAGGCTGTTGATTGGAGGATAAGGCCTGGCCCTCTCTAATCAGCTGTTTTGCATGCTATTCCTGATATAGCCTAGCTCTGTCTGTCGGGGGGGATTCAACTGCATGTTTTGGATTAGCTCCCTGGTGTTGTGAGTGAAAGATTCGTAGAGGAGGACTCAGTAAAGAGTGAGCGTGTGCTGTCCCAGCCCAGTGGACTGTAGCTGTATGTGTTTAGGCCTGTCTCTCTAAGGGCCCTGCTGCTTGCCATATAGACACACCCACCAGGAGAAATCCTCCTGTCCTCCTCGCCCTGCGCCTGGGGACACACTGTGGTGGTGTGATGGAAAAGGTCTTTATGACATGTACTGCAATCATGGCGTGCTCACACACATTTGTGCCCATATGTAAATATGCACCCACGTATGCGTGCACCATAATGGCGTGCACACATTTGATGGGATTTGTAATATGTGTGTGTGTGTGTGTGTGTGTGTGTGTGTGTGTGCTCACCAAATCGCTCTCTTTCTGTCTGTTGTTGCACAGGGATTGGCTGAAGAGCGAGAGACGCTCCCCTACCACCGAGGACACTGCAGATGAGAGGTGGTCGTCTGCCCGTCCAACCTACCCAAAATACCTTCTCCCCATCCGTCCTCACCTAAGATGGCTTCCCACGGCCTTCTCCTGCACTGGAATGGACTGGAGCAGAGCTGCGCCCTACCATGGTGATCATCTTCTCAAAAACACTGGAAAAGAAGAAGGGTGGCGATCATGTAAGGGCTAAGGACACTGAATATTTGCTGCTGGTGAGTACAACTCTGCTAGACCTATAACTAAAGCACTGTAACAAGTACCTTACAGGTGCCTCTCTCTCCACCGACCTTGGAAACATGAGTCTTGGGCTCTGTATTGGCTTCTCTACAATACAGCCTATTGTAGTTTTTGGCAGGGTGCTCGCCATCAAGGTGTTAACTTCATATGGCCTCTACGTTGGTCCTTCTAAATAAATTGTATATTGTTCTACCTCAGCAGTCGAATCAAGCAATTTGGGTGAAATGGCTTCAACTGAAATGGGGCCAATTTGAGTAGTTTTACCTCTTTATAGCCCTCAGTGTGTACTGTAAGGTGTCTAGCAGTTCTGAATGCTGACATTACACTTTATTGCTGTGACTCCCAGTAATGTTAATGACTGCCTGCATCACCCTGTTTGTTATTTTCTTTGAATTGTTCTGTATGTTCCAGGATAAACAGGGTAGGTGTGTGTGTGTGTGTGTGTGTCTGTGTGTGTGAGTGCACTCGTTCATGTTCGATTCCTGGAAAGTTATGTACGGACATGTTTGGAGTCTGAGTAAATGAGCCTAGTCTAAGCCATGTCCTCTTTGTCTGTTTTTCTGTATCCCTCCATCTGTCCGTCAACAGTGTGAGCGCCGCACCATGAGCAGAGGGACTACCCTCTTCTCCCGTGGCACTGTGGGTGAGTGCATCACTCTCCCCTTCACTCAGACTCTGTTGTCCTCACCATAATGTTTCTTATTGTCTTCTCTTAGGCTTTATTGACTCGGGCTGTTGTGGAAACTGGTTGAATTGAACATCTGCTTATCATGTCCTCCCTGCTTTTCATAAAAACGGTCTCACTATTTGTTCCCATTCGCTCGCATTCATTTCCTTTGTCTTGTTGCCTCGTTATAAGCTCCCCTATAGCTGTTTCTGCTGATCCCCTTCTGTCTCACTTCTCTCTTTCTCCTTCTGTCTCTCATCTCCCCCTCATGTCTGGTGTGCACCTGCCTTCACACAGAGCTGTGTACTGCACTCGTGGGACTTAACTGTAACTGACTGACTGTTTTGCCTTTGTCAATGGTTCCCTTTTGACTCGGTGAACGTCACGCTCCCCCCCCCCCCCCCCGCATTAAAAGACTTGCTACTGTAAAGAATTGGACCCGTCCTGTCATCTGTTCAATGTACCTGAGATGGGGTTAACACAAAGGGATGCACATCCTACAACTGCTGTATCTATTGTTACAGCTGACATCACAAGACGTGTTATGTACTATTATATGGCTTCAGGTGGGATTTAAGTCCTTTGTTGAACACTTTTTACTGGGCGAGGCGAACCTTTTAGACTTTTTCTCCTATTGTTATTTTGTATTCTTGACATTCTTGTCAGGTCATGTCGTCGCCCCCGTCCGTAGTTTTTTGGGACTGAAACAAAGACTTCTGCCCACCAAAGAGGGAGAGAGTGTAGGCAAAATTGGAGAGAAGCATTCGAAGGGATGGGTTTGGACAGGGGTGGGCCACTTGCTGCCAATTGGGTATCAATAGAGTTCTGTGCTAGCGTTGAGCTCAGTAGTGGCTAAGTTAGCTAGAACCAGTGTGGTAGGTGTTTTGCCTGTGACGAGTAATGTTGGCGAAGTCATTTGTCAAATTCTGTCTGAATTTAAACCAATCAAGTCAGGCTGCCTTTCTGTCATTAGTGTAGGAAGCCATCCACCTTCACAGAATCATACACCTAGCTAGCCTGTCCTGCTAACTAAACCAGTCGTCAGACTGGGCTGGCTGCTACCATTATGTTAGGTAGCAAAAAGCTGTGCTTAGCAAAGTGACACCTGGCTGGCTCTCTGCCAACAATCATTTACATTACATTTACGCCATTTAGCAGACGCTCTTATCCAGAGCGACTTACAAATTGGTGCATTCACCTTATAGCCAGTGGGATAACCGCTTTACAAATTGTTTATTTTTTTTATTTTTTTTGGGGGGGGTTAGAAGGATTACTTTATCCTATCTCAGGTGTTCCTTAAAGAGGTGTGGTTTCAAATGTCTCCGGAAGGTGGTGAGTGACTCCGCTGTCCTGGAGTCATTCATAGGACATTTGGAAGTTTTCGTTCAGTCTTCACTTAACTTTTCAGTCTGAGAAAAACCCATCAACAGTCAATCAAGTGGTAAAGCATTGGCCGGTTCATTGACCTGAATGTCATTGTTTGTTTTGTGACTGGTAGTGGTGTTGGCCAAACACCACTGTGCCACTGTTATCCTAGGCCTGCTCATGTCAAGTTTTGTTAGCTAAGCGTTCTGTGACAACTGCAATACTATATAATACAAAATGTTGTTGATTAATGGCACACTGCCAGGTTGCTTGTATAATCCTGTACTACCAGTAAGCTCAGGCTATTGCCCTGCGAGCCACTATGCAACTGTTGATCTACCCAACTCAGGAGCTAGCAGCTCTGTTCCAGCAGGTAGTGTACTGTCAAGCAGTGCAGCTTGGGTCGATCCAATCCCGTCTGTAGCATTTCTTCTACTATCTGGTCTTGAACCACCTTAACCGGGCATCTAGACCTTGAGTGATGCGCTCCATCTCTCTCTATTAAAACTCCTACAGATGTGACCATACTCGCTTCACACGGTATTATCTCTCTAACCAAGAGCTGCTACTGCTGGTCTATTCTCCCTCTGGCCTCAGGCTGCTTACTGTCTATTGTTTTCTGAAGTGAAGTGTGCGTGTGGTTATTTACTGGGTTGATCATCCTAACTCACATACGTGAAGAAGCTGCACCTTTAACATTGAACCTCACCCTGGAAGAAGCTGCATGCTGCACATTGAACCTCACCCTGGAAGAAGCTGCATGCTTCACATTGAACCTCACCCTGGAAGAAGCTGCACGCTGCACATTGAACATCACCCTGGAAGTTTAGCCCTGCTTTCCATGTCATTATTGTTTCACTTGAAGCTAGACTTTATGTTGACATGGCCTCTGTAGATGAGATGAAGTGGGATTTTCAAAACTCTGTTAGATGGCATATGGGGCCTTATGTTACCAGAGGGGACATGTACTATAGGAGGAGCATTACAAGGTGTTATGATAGAAATGATTTCAGCTTAGGCCCCTGACAAAAAATACACTTTCCATCTGTTCTGTCCTGATTTATATGCCCACTTGAAAATTACATTTTGTCAAATTAAAATATATGTATAAGTGTGTGTTCATATGTGTGTGTCCATGTGTTCCAGAGGCAGACAGGTGGCTGGACCTGGGCCGAGGCTGTGCCATCCAGCGAGGGACGCCCTGCGAGTCCGGCGCCAGTCTGGAGAGCCTGTGGGACGTTCTGCCTGAGGAGTGCCAGCGGAGGAGCCTGGTCTGGGGCCACGAGGTTGGCCCTGCCACTGCCATCACCAGCCTCATCCGAGACCTTAACCTGGGCGATGCCAAGCTGGCAGCCACCCAGTCCCTGGCCCTCGCCACCTCCACTTCAGCCTCCACAGCGCCCCCTAGCAAGCGCCAGTGCCGCTCGCTCTCCTTCTCTGAAGAGTTTGGTGGCTGCCGGTCATCATGGAGACCTCAGGTGTCGCGAGTGTGGACAGCGGTGGAGAAGAGGAGGTGCCACAGTGGGGGGAGTGTGCATCGCTGCTCTGGAGGAGGTGGTGTAGGAGGTAGTGGAGGTTTTTCAGGGGGTCATTTTCCTGCCATGCAGCGGAGCTCCAGTTTCAGCCTGCCCTCCCGCTCCAACAACCCCACAGACAGCACTCTGGCGCTGCCCTGCTTCACCCAGCGCCTGCCCCTTCACCCCCTGTTCACTGCCTCCCCTACCTCCCCCTCCCACCACCACTACCATCACTCCCTCAGGCCCCTCTCCTTGTCCCATGAGCAGATCAGCCTGCCAGAGCACCACAGGGAGGGGGCCAGCTCCCCGGACTTCACCCAAGAGATGGGGAGACGTGCTGGGCAGAGAGCAGGGGGGACTTGGGGCCTGTCGCGGAGCAAGTCCCAGCCCTGCGTCCTGAACGATAAGAAGATCGGCATGAAGCGCCGGAGACCAGAGGATGCTAAGGAACCACGGCCCTCCCTGGACCTGGCCAAGATGACCCAGGTTAGTAACCATGGACACACACACACACACACCTCAATGGTCTGCCAAGAGTGTCTGCCCATACCAAATGACTGAAAGGCTAAACATATTAGTGGATTTTGATTATGTTATGTTGACTCCGACATTTCAGAGCTTCATCGTTATTTTCTCATCTCGATTAAGCATGGATCAAGTTTCATCCAAGTCTTTACACAGCTTTAATACCTTTAATAACCTGAGTACATAAGGTTAGATCAGGTCAAACAAATGACTAACAAAGGAATACCTCTGTTCAGAGATGGGGAACATTCAAGGCTTCTTTCTCTGTGTCTGATCTGGTGGGGGATTGAAACAGGCTGTATTAAGTTTTCTGGGTCAGTGGTTTGTAGCGCAGAGGGTAAGTATTTTTTCCAAGCCTCCCCTTTGGGAAGTGACATTAACTAAGGAGCATTTATTGTGTTCCGTCACGCTTCACACTGCCATGCTCTACCACACTCGGCTCTGGTTATCATTTCATTGACTCTGTTGGGTAAACACAATGCAAAGTTTGAACCCACACAGTCCACTTCCCTCCCTCCCTCCATTTTTTGCTGGATCACATTCTGCCTGGCCTAGGGGAGGCTTGTTTGTGCTTGTGTAATGTCAGAGGAAGTCGTGGAACTGCTCTGAGATTACTACTTGATGGCTCCATATAGAATGGATGGATAGCATACTGGATGCAGTCTAATTTTGCACATTGATCAGACATTGTACGCAGCCACTATATGCAGTTTACAGTGACCCAGTGACCTGGCTCACTTGGCTCTATCCCTCTGACCAATGCGTCTCCCTTGAGAATGAGCTGTGATAGATAGCACAGTTTGGAATTAAATCCAGCACATATAGAGCTAGCACAGTGTAAACACAGATGAAGCTAGCTGATATTACTCTGTGCCTCTCCTACCTCCTCAACCCTGCTCAGAGGTCCCCTGTCCTCTCTAGAGACCTCTAAATCTGACCTAGAAAGCATTCAACCTCAACCCCCCCCCCCCTTCCTGTTCTCTCCCCCCTCTCTAAGAAACTGTTCCTAGCCACCCTGAGGGTATAGCCAAGGTTGGATCAACAAGTGTTCAGTAATGGAGCCTAGCATGTTTCCTGTGTCCATGCCAGCCGCTAAGAGAGGAAAACCAAGAGCATTTTCATTATCCACACCAGTTACCTCCGCTCTCTGGAATTCCTCAGTACGCCTCTCCAATGGCTCACGGGCTTTTCTTTTGGCATCGAGAGTACCCAAATGGAGGCTAGTTTTTAATAACCTTGTTTTTGTTTTGGGTTGGGATTGTACGACTGCGCTTTAGCATTGTGTGAGGAGGACTGATGAGATCGGGTGGTGTGGGTTTGATCAGTAGTTTAAAGCCTCACACGCATGAAACCAGATATCCACTTAGCGGTATTACTCTCTCACAACACAGAATAATATAGGTCATGAAAGCACACTGACACATAGATACACACACACACATTGTCAGAGATGCACACACCCAAACTCAGTCACTCTCGGTCAAACTCGGTCCTGGTGAGTATAGTAAGGTTTAGGTAAGGTAATGAGTCAGACTCAGTACTCTAAACTTACATTCTACATTGAATTTACATTTTAGTCATTTAGCAGACTCTCATATTCATTTTTACGATATAGCCAATTTGGACTTTGTGGCTGTGGTAACTAGTGACAACATTTGTAATGCATGTTTAGGGGTGAGGGGTTCGCCAGACCCAGAGACGTGTGGTGGTCTCCGGATGAGGACAGATGATGAGTGTTAACTGCTGGTTGGTTAAAAGGAAGAGTGAAGGCGGACATTTTTGGCTGGTTACAACATGTGTTCTGCCTGACATCGAGAGAGAATTAATGGAAAGGAGGGTATGTTGGGCATAGATTAGATTTTATGGCTGGTTGCTGGAATTCTGTCCTCTCCAATCCAAGTAGGATTAGTGCGGGAATCGTTTAATTTTCTGTTAATTGAGATGTTAATTTGTCATGTCACTCTGTTCATATTTATTGACATTTGACTTGTTCGTGTGGGAAGCAACTCAGATTGACTTTAACAAGCATAATTGCATGAGAATGTGATTGCCCAATTCTCTCAGAGGCTGTTTTTACATGTGAAAGTGATTCAAAAGGGCAAATCCACCTTCAATCACTATGGGTGTGTATGCATATGTCCTGACGGTGAAAATTAAAAGTGACTGCTTCTTCATGTATGAGAGTTGGGCCTTACCCAGTGAATAACACACACACACACACACACACTCCACTCTGTGTAGAGAAACTAGGTGAGAGGTGTCAGGACTAGGTCTACCATGGATTGGTTAAATGGATCAAGGTGTTGCTGTTGCACCATATAGGCCTAGCAGTGATCCTATGGCCTCTGTCAAGACTACATCTAAGGGAACAACAGTGTTTGGCTACAGTGAGAATAACAGGTTTGTTATTCAGCAGGTGGAACATGTTGTACATCCCCCTTGTGTTTTGGATCAGACTTGTATCAAAGATTTTTTATAACTAAACCAAGATAGACCACAGCCTGTCGTTTCAAATGGGAACAAATGAGTCATAGTGGCCAGAACAAGCAAGGAGGTGGGCAGAGCCAAGTACGAGCTAGCGAGATCCTATCGGCGCGTTCTAGCATGCATGTGCATATTTCCATTAGGGAACGCCTACTCTGTGAGGTGCGCGTGTGCAATAACTCAATTAGCCTTTGCACTCCTTCTAAACAATGCAATTTTTTAACAACTTTGGCAAAGAGTAAAGTCTACAAGTGGCGCAGTGGTCTAATGCACTGCATCACAGAGCTAGCTGTGCCACTAGAGATCCTGGTTCGAATCCAGGCTCTGTCGTAGCCGGCCGTGACCGGGAGACCCATGGGGCGGCGCACAATTCGTCCAGGGTAGGGGAGGGAATGGCCGGCAGGGATGTAGCTCAGTTGGTAGAGCATGGCGTTTGCAACGCCAGGGTTGTGGGTTCGTTTCCCACGGGGGGCCAGTATAAAAAAAACAAACAAACAAAAAAAATATATATGTATGCACTCACTAACTGTAAGTCGCTCTAGATAAGAGCGTCTGCTAAATGACTTAAATGTAAATGTACAAAACTTAGTCAACTCTGTTCGTAATATATTTTTGTTTTGGGAACAGAAAATTGTATTGAGATCAAATGTTTCATTGATGAGAAAATTAGCAGAATGTCGGCCAAAATCCATCTCGTTCCATCTTCTCCCACTGCTGGCAACTGGGCTTAATCTCACTACCATATTTGGTAGTGAGTGGAAACGCCAAGCAATTGCTTCACATTTATACATCCAGTGAAATATCTGTCTCATTGTTCTATCTGTGTTTGTATTATGTATCCAGTGCATGTTGTAGATCAAGGATCATCAACTAGATTCAGGCCTGTTTGTTTCTAGAGTTCCATACGATCACATATACACGACATGACCAAAAGTATGTGGACACCTGCTTGTCAAACATCTCATTCCAAAATCATGGTCATTAATATGGAGTTGGTCCCCCCTTTGCTGCTAGAACAGCCACTCTTCTGGGAAGGCTTTCCACTAGATGTTGGAACATTGCTGTGGGGACTTGCTTCCATTCAGCCACAAGAGCATTAGTGATGTCATTGCATGCTGTAGCGTTAAGATTTCCTTTCACTAGCCTGAACCATGAAAAACAGCCCAAGACCATTATTCCTCCTCCAACAAACTTTACAGTTGGCGCTATGCATTGGGGCAGGTAGCGTTCTCCTGGCATCCGCCAAACCCAGATTCATCCATCGGACTGCCAGATGGTGAAGCGTGATTAATCAGTCCAGAGAACGTGTTTCCACTGCTCGTGTGCGGCTGCTCGGCCATGGTAACCCATTTCATGAAGCTCCCGACGAATAGTTATTGTGCTGAACAGTTTGGAACTCGGTAGTGAGTGTTGCAACGGAGGACAGACAATTTTTACGCGCTATGCGCTTCAGCACTCAGCGGTCCTGTTCTGTGAGCTTGGTGTGGCCTACCACTTCGCGGCAGAGCAGCATTTACAGTTGACAAGGGCAGCTCTAGCAGGGCATAAATGTGACTAACTGACTTGTTGGAAAGGCATCCTATTACAGTGCCAGGTCACTGAGCTCTTTAGTAAGGCCATTCTACTGCCAATGTTTGTCTATGGAGATGTTTGTCAATGGGTATGGCTGAAATAGCCAAATCCACTAATTTGAAGGGGTGTCCACATCTCTGTATTATGTGTGGGAATACTTGGGAACAGATGGCCAAAATTCTAATCACTTGGAGCTGATTTCCTGGTGTTTTTACAGTCTTATGTCCAACATCTCTGGAGGAGATGGCTGCCATTTTAAGACTCCTAACCAATTGTGATATTGTGTGTGTTTTTCTGTGTGATTTGTAACTTATTTTGTACATAATGTTTCTGCCACCATCTCTTATGACCGAAAAGGGCTTCTGGATATCAGAACAGTGATTACTCACCTCGTACTGGACAAAGATTTTTTCTTTAATGAGTTGGACGCGAAGGATTTACTTCAGAAAACAAATATATATATATATATATATATATATATATATATATATATATATATATATATATATATATATATATATATATATATTTGTTTTTATTATTCTACTTTTTTGGTCAGAAAACTTGGAGGGGAGGGGGCAAAAAAAACCAGCTGCGGGCCGCCAGTTGGGAAACCCTGTTGTAGATCATGGAACATCGTGTTAGTGTAGAATACCAGGGTGGTTCTAGTGTATATCCCTCATCCATACTGATGCAACGGGGTGTGAATTCTGTGGATGCATGTTGTGCTAATGAACTAAGGCCCAGCCACCAGTTGGAATTTGTGTGTGTCTGAGAGAACTTGCAGGGCAGAGAGAGGGGGGTATTTTATTTCTCCCTAAATCTCCCCTGCTGGCGGAGGGCTGGCAGAGTGGAGTCTCGTGGCCTATTAATATCTCCTCATTGGCCTGAGTTCAGGCTCATAAAATGACGGGGGGGGGGGGGGGGCACCCTTCCCTTCCCTTCCCTTCCCTTCCCTTCCCTTCCCTTCCCTTCCCTTCCCTTCCCTTCCCTTCCCTTCCCGTTCTCTCCTCCCCTCCTCCATTTCTGGGATGATAGTCATGGCGAGCATAGCTGAGCTGCAGTCCTTGCGGGGTTGTGGGAACACCTAAGTGGGTGGGTGTGGTGGTGTGGCGTGGAGTGGGGCCCTGCTGTGGCTGCAAACTATACACACAAACAAACACACATGGACACACATGTAGATCTGCTAAACTTGTCCTTGTCTGTCTATCTGTCTGTCTGCCAGTTATGGGTTAAGCTCTACTTCTCTCCCTCCCTGTTCTTTCCCTCCCTGTTCTGTCCTATCCTATCCTGTCCCTCCTTGTCCTGTCCTGTTATTTTTCCTCCTGTGTGTCTGTGTGCTCCAGGAGGTCTCTCTCTCTCTCTCTTCCCCATAACACACTGTCTCTCTGGGGGCAGTTTATTGTACCAGTACCATGCTTTTTATATGGCGCTAGGAAATACGCTCTGAGGAAGAGTGTGTGTGTGTGTGTGTAGCACTGTTTTGCCAGCTTGTTAGTAGGGTGTTGTTTTGAGTGTTTGTTCACAGCCCCATTATCCAGGGGGATATTTCCTTAACCTCTTAGCATTGTGTGTTTGTGTGTTCCCACACTAGCAACTGTCCACACTATCCAGCTAGAACAAAATGCTATGCGCCTTCTAGGGCTGGAGGGGCTTACAGGACTGGCGAGGTGTGTGTATTGTGTGTGTACATTTGTGGGTTACTTTTCAAGAGTGGTGCTCTAGAAGAAGAAAAAAGCTGGGTAAACTGCAGAGTATTAAAGCTCCTTACCCCAAATTTAACAGGAAGCAGAAAATACCCTCCTCTTGCCATCCACTTCCCCTCTCTCTCTCTCTCTCTCTCTCTCTCTCTCTCTCTCTCTCTCTCTCTCTCTCTCTCTCTCTCTCTCTCTCTCTCTCTCTCTCTCTCTCTCCCTCTCTCTCTCTCCTCTCTCTCTCTCTCCGTCCTCTCTCTCTCTCTCTCTCGCTCTCTCCATCCTCTCTCCTCCTCCTCTCTCTCCTCTCTCTCTTCAGTGTGCTATAGGAGGGGATACTACAGGGGTTGAAGAAAGAGGGTGAGGCCCTCAAAAAAGAAAGAAGCTAAACGATGCCATTAACTACTGTTAAATGTTTACATCCATGGCCTTTGCTTGTCTGTATTTTTCTCTTGAGGTAACTAGAGTTAAGCATTGGCCTCCAGTGGTCACCTGACATACAGTATTATAATATACTGTAGGTGTGCCAGAGTACAACTTTGGAAGTATGCTTGGGGTCATTGTCCATTTGGAAGACCCATTTGCGACCAAGCTTTAACTTCCTGACTGATGTCTTGAGATGTTGCTTCAATATATCCACATAATTTTCCTTCCTCATGATGCCATTTATTTTGTGAAGTGCACCAATCCCTCCTGCAGCAAAGCACCCCCACAGCATAATGCTGCCACCCCCGTGCTTCACGGTTGGGATGGTGTTCTTCGGCTTGCAAGCCCACTCTTTTCCTCCAAACATAACGATGGTCATTATGGCCAAACAGTTCTATTTTTGTTTCATCAGACCAGAGGACATTTCTCCAAAAAGTACAATGTTTGTCCCCATGTGCAGTTGCAAACCGTAGTCTGTTTTTTTTATGGAGGTTTTTGAGAAGTGGCTTCTTCCTTGCTGAGCGGCTTTTCAGGTTATGTTGATATAGGACTTGTTTTACTGTGGATATAGATACTTTTGTACCTGTTTCCTCCAGCATCTTCACAAGGTCCTTTGCTGTTGTTCTGGGATTGATTCGCACTTTTTGCACCAAAGTACGTTCATTTCTAGGAGACAGAACGTGTCTCCTTCCTGAGCGGTATGATGGCTGTGTGGTCCCATGGTGTTTATACTTGCGTACTATTGTTTGTACAGATGAACGTGGTACCTTCAGGCATTTGGAAATTGCTCCCAAGGATGAACCAGACTTGTGGATGTCTACAATTTATTTTCTGAGGTCTTGGCTGATTTCTTTTGATTTTCCCATGATGTCAAGCAAAGAGGCACTGAGTTTGAAGGTAGGCCTTGAAATACATCCACAGGTACACCTCCAATTGACTCAAATGATGTCAATTAGCCTATCAGAAGCTTCTAAAGCCATGACATCATTTTCTGGAATTTTCCAAGCTGTTTAAAGGCACAGTCAACTTAGTGTATGTAAACTTCTGACCCACTGGAATTGTGATACAGTAAATTATAAGTGAAATAATCTGTCTGTAAACAATTGTTGGAAAAATGACTTGTGTCATGCACAAAGTAGATGTCCTAACCGACTTGCCAAAACTATAGTTTGTTAACAAGACATTTGTGGAGTGGTTGAAAAACTAGTTTTAATGACTCCAACCTAAGTGTATGTAAACGTCCGACTTCAACTGTATGTCTGAATGTTAGCCCTGCTCATGTTTTAGCCACAGAATGTAAAGCTGACGTTGGCCATAGATAGTGAACATTAAAGTTATATAAACGTATCACTTTATATTTATATCTATTGAAACATTGAAATGCCTTTTGCTTTTATTTGATTTCTCTCATAACATGCATGTTTTCGAAAAACATTTGGGAAAAGTCTCTACCAGTTCATTGTAACAGGAAGAAGTGAATGAGGGATTTCAGGAACATTAAAGTTGTCCATCATGTGTGCCGTGGGCTCTAGCAACACACTCATCTCTATTCACCTCCATGCCTCCAACATCTGCTACTGGGAGAGAGGGACGCTTAACCCTTTCACAGCTGGAATGTCTTAGGTCTGGCTCTATTAGAAGGCTGAGGGAAAGTAGTTTAATGATGCGACATGTTTTTTAGAGAAGCAAACATTGCATAATAAGGCATCAATACCACATGTCAAAATAATTGAAGTTCAGTACATATACTAACACAGATGGAAAAAGATGGATATGAATAATCCTTAAATGCCTAGAGTAGCCTGCACCAGTTTGAATATAAAAGTGTTAGGTTGATGATATAGGTTCACATATGGGTGTAGACATAGGGGTATCTTGCATTGACAGTTGGCACACAAATAAATTAAACTCAGTCTGCCCTGTGTTGGGCCACATGGGATGTGGTAATCAAGGTTAAAGGTAATGCGTTAACAACCAAACACATGCACACAGCCACACACACACACAGCTCTTCACATAACAACATAACACATGGTCAAACTCTCTTTCTCTCTCTCACACTCATTAGTAAACACACACACGCACACTCTCTCTCGCTTAAGCACACATGTCGTTGTAACCCAAATAGCCTGCTTTGCACACCTTGCCTGGGCACAGTGTGTTTGTTGTACTCACACGTCTCTGGTCTCTGAATGGAGAGATCACACCCTGAGTAAACATAGAGCTGCTCCAGAGTCATCTTTTCTCTCCTGGGGGCTTGTGATGTCCATTTGTGCATCCATTTACCAGGAACAGACAAACTCTCTCTCTCTCTCTCTCTCTCTCTCAGCAATAACCATCCCTAACCAACTTTGTCCAACACATTATTATTCATAAGTGTCAACTAGATGATGGGTGTATGAGCTGGCCAGATCAGGAGGTTTACCAAGCTAGGTCAAGCCAAACAATAGGAAGAATAGTATATAGAACATTGTAAGTCTTCAGGAAAGTTTGTCCCTTTGCCTGGTGTGTGTTTAGTGCTTCATCCCCTCAGTGCAGCAGGACAGGGAGACTCATGGGGTTGGGAGGAAGAGGATACCTTGGTGGTTTGCAACTGATCGCACCATGTCATCGTTCCACTGTGTTTCCTCTGACTGAGTGTAGACTGTGAACAGACTCACCAGAACATTAACAAAACTAGCTCCCAAGTGGGAGGGCGAGCTCAGCTCCACCGGTGAAGCAGGAGTCACACACCCACAGGCCATGAAGGCCAAGTTATCAGGTTTCTCTCAACAACTCTGTGTTCCAGATGACTTAATGACATTTTTGAAGTGTACATACATAGGTTTTGTGACCTGTATCAAGATTGAACAGTGAGACGACGATACTATAAATATGTTATGTGTTGTTATACTAATCAATATCTCCCTTTCTTTCCCTCGCATTTCTTCTCTCAAACAGAAACTCCAGACATTCCACAGCTTGAGCTGCCCTGGGTTCTCTGGTCCGGACAGCTGTCACTCAAACATGCCCCCGCCCTCTGCCAGGAGCTTGAGCCAATCGGAATCTGACTTCGCCTGTGCGTCTGACCTATGTGCTGAGACTCAACAGGAAGTGGACGAGGAGGAGGATGACTCTTCCTATAAGGAGTTGGACAGTGACTCAGCGTGTAGCCTGGACTCTAGGCCTGGGTCCCCATGCAGGGGAGGGGGGGGGAGAATGGGGCAGGGACACACCCTCTGGAAGGGTGAGTGTGGGACAGAGAAGGACATCTACCAGCTGGGGGGTGAGCTGGACATCGACCAGATCGAGAGGAACTGAATGCAACCTGAAGCCTTTGGATAAAGGATTGTCATAACCTTTTATGAAGGCTGAGGAATGTTTCTGAATGTTGTGGAAAGGCGGAGAATTTGGAATTTCATGACCACGAGAAGGATGCCTTACGTATGATAGGTGGATATTGAGCGGATTGAAAGGACCTTAGAGAGAGGAACCTAGCGATTCTGGACAGAGTAGTTTTTGGAACATTACAGGGATGTTTGCAAATACAGTGGAAGGGATGTTGTATTGTATGTAATGTCAACGAAGGACAAAGCACGTGGAAGTGTTGCTAGAAAGTACTGCATGTTGACTTTGCAGATGGCTTCTTTGGTTGAACTTTGAGGTCCTGCGAGACAAACTGTTGTTTTGAACTGTCTCGTTGTCTTTCTGAATCTAAAGGCAGTGGCTTTCGCTTGGCGACGTACAGCCTAACTCAGGAGTGGGAAAGTGAGGGACAGTCTTTAACACCTCCAGAAAGCCCTCTCTCCTCTTAGCCTGAGTACCTCCCTATACACCTGGACTGAACTAACCATAAGGTTTAAGTACTGTAGCATTAGCAGCAGGAGTATGCTACAACTTCTGCTTTTCTCTACCAGACTGGTGGGACATGATGGACTGGGAGAGAGGGATGAATTAGAGGAGGAGAGAAACAGTATTTTTTTTCTCATATAGACATCACCTTGACCCTTTTCTTCAACTATACCTGCCGGAAGAACATCCCCTGTTGAATTCCAAATTAGCCCCTATACCCTAGCCCCTATACCCTAGCCCCTCCTGTAGATATGAAAGGAAGACAGTACCAGTATTATGGTCATTTCTTCACCTTCCCTTCTGACAGGCTGTGTGGCGTTTTCACCATATTGCTTACACCTATCCAAGGGTTTCAGATCTACAGGAGTGCATAGGGGATAGGGGTCAATTTGGAATTCAGAAGTGTTCACACACCATCGCTGAATGTAAATAAGCTTTAATGGGTTTGGAAATAACAGGCGATTTGTTCGGTCAGGTACATGTGTTGTCTTTACACCTCAGAAAGCCCTGCTCTAAACAAACCTTTTGGACTTTTTATAGATTCTAATATGCAAAATGTATATTTGAATAAACACTGAATTTTAAGTTTTCAGTTCTAATATCAATGTATATTTTTCTAAATGTATGTTTTTTTATGATCTGTTTGTGAAGGATCTGAATTAAGAGGCCTTTAACAGGATAGACATGAAATAAAATCACAAACTGCCTCTTCTGTGGTCATGTTGTGTTTCATTACTATCAGGGAAGGGTGCCATTAGACATGGTACAACTTGACATTAAGCCTTCACGTCGTAAACATGACATAGTGTGTGTTTACATACAGTAGATATGCTTCTGATCTGATGTCCTCTAATTGTTTATAAAGTAATTTAACTGCCATTGACTTTGGCACATCATGCCACACAAGCTGTTTATACCCTGTGATGGATAGGGTCAGTTAGGTAAACATCTGTGTGCTATATGATACCGTTACGCAGCCCACCGGCACCAAACAAAATGGCAGAAAGTCTAGAATACCCCAGCAACGCCACTTACCTTGAACTGAGGCAAGAGGAAGTGATGTCACAGCCACATTAATGCTTCTTCTCTCCTCAGTTCAGTAGGAAGGCAGACAGACACGTCATCAAGGCGGTGCTGTTTTGCTTGGAGATATCCTGTCATAGGTCTTTAATGTCTGTCCAAGTCCGAGGGGGCTAAAAGCACCTGCTGCCACAATGAAGAAAATAAGACTTAAAACTAGTTTATAGAGTTACACGTCTTCACTATTTTATTCTGCTCTCAGGGTGCATTATTCAAATAAAGTATTAGTGGAGTGTAGTTTTCCAACACAACAGGATGTTGCAACCAGCTGAATGCTCTTTCTATTCACCATGGCCTTTCCATTCACCATGGCCTTAACTTTGACCGTGGCCTTGAAGTAAAACAAACTCTAACCCCATCGGTGGGGTGTTACCTTACCACACACAATCACACACAGCCAAAGGCCCTAGAATGAATGCTGACTGTGTACTCAGAGAGAAGTTCTAAACTGGTCTGAAAATATTTGGATTGCTTTTCTCGCTTGTGTGAAGGGATAGGATGTAGAGTACTCCCTCTCCTCAGAGCTGTTGTTACAGCTGCCCATACAGTGCCAGAGTGGGAGTACCGGGTCCATCAAAGGATGGATGGATGCAAGGAGGTTTGAGGGAGGGATGAAATGAAGGAAAAGGAGGTGAGGCTGTTGAAATCAACAAACCTGTTCACAGGCCACTTCTCTCTCCGAAACAATGAGCCTGGAAACACAGCATCACGTTGCCACGGACAACATATCAGTCGCTCGCTCAGACCTAAAGGTCACTGACCTCCTTCCACACACATATACACACTTCCTGTCAGACAGGAAGTAGCAGGCTGAGCGGAATAGAGATTTAGAGTCTGAGGTAACGCAAACACCCACTCACACTAATGGGCCAGGCCTATAAATAGGAGGCATTATGTAGCGGAGGGAAAAGGCCATGTTACTCAAAGTCACAAATCCAGGGCTGTATAGCCTCAATTACAAGTGTGAAAACACTGCTGATGTTTTAAGGGAAAGCAGAGATTTTACTTTGTTAGCAGAAAAGGCTTTTGCTCTCAGAACTACTAAGGAGTAGAGCATGGTGCATTTATTAGTCTTGTAAATTTCAAGACGGATTCAAAGACCACTGCAATAAGTAAATCTTAAAAAAAAAAAATTTAAAATAAATCTGGTCTTCCATGTTCAAAAGGGTCTAGCTAAATGGGCTTGTTCAGAAAGGCCGACCTACCTTATAACCTCATACTGCGTCACGACGACCAGAACTTTTAGTTCACAGAATATCCTGTATTTGTCTCACTCAGTAGGTCATGTTAGTCTCCACTGTGTGCTGGGTGAGCAGAGACACCTACAGTATCTGTGGTTGACATGTGGCCAGTGTCACATGTCACTGATTGACTACCTCTCCACTCAAAGGTCAATGGGATCTGGCACCAAGGCCCTACAGTCTGTGACCATGGTTTCTGCCAACCCTTTCTCTCTATTTCTACATCATGTTTCCTTCCTCATACGGATTTTAAGTTACACAGACCATTTAAATTTCACTTCAAGGTGCTTGTAATTGCAGTTGTAGTATCAACACCACATGCAAGCGATTCATATTCTAAGCCTGTGATTGTCTTTGCTTAACTGCACCCTCAGAGGGGTCGGAAACAACCGAATGCATCCGGCTGTTTAGGGGAAATGGAAAGAGAGCCTGTGACGCGACTTCCGCTTTTGCACGTTAACAAGGCGACACTCCATCTTAACTCCTCCACATTTACTGATTTGGTTGAACAGTGCAGAAGAGAACCCCCCAGAAATAAACCTCGCGCAGGCATTTATTTTATGCCTGCTATGTTAGGTTAGCTTAACAACCTTGACATAAAACCTGGCATTCAAATATGGCAACTAGCTCTTAGTGGGTCAGGTAACCCTTATGTAAAGATTGTAATTATTGTACATATGTGCTTCCTTGATTATCACGAGAGAGAGACAGAGAAACACAGATAGAAAGGATTGGTTAAGGACAGTTAAACAGTGCCTTTTATTATCGATGTAATCAGCTTCAACATTTAATTCAGACAGGTTTTACCAATACTCTACCCATAAATTATTGTAAGCTTATATGAAGAGCATGGAGCAATGGTGTGGTATTTATGTCTGCTTCTTTTTTATCAAGATCACAACATATTGAATGTAAGTGTTGCTGAAAACTGTCGCTGGAAGCCAACTTCAATGAAGGCTTTTAGATTTGAACAACAATAAGGAATGCCTTAGTTATCTGTGTGAATTCATCTGTGAATTCATCTGCTGCCAGAATTCACTGCATTCCAAGCCCAATTGTTAGGCTTATAGCCTAACTACAAAAACACACAACTGGGAGCGACTCTTTAGCTAGAGGACTCCAGATATCTCCAGGAGTGATAAGTATAATTTTTGTCTTTATTTGTCTAATACTGTCTTTTTGCTAACTAGAGCCATCTACTTTAAGTGCTGCCTGTCTTCCAAGTGGCCTACTTGGTGTGTGAACTGCTGACTGCTCATAACTTGCAGGTGTTTGTTGACACATCAACCAGGATTAAAGGGCAGGGCAATTTGTGACTTGTTTTGGTAATCAGTGGCTGTATTGGAGAGGGAATGGTTTCTCCTCTCCTAGGGAATAAGCAATTAGTACAGGGAGGTGTGCTTTTCACCTCTGCTAGGCAATTAGCTATTAGTGTTAGGTATTCAGTCTCCCCTGGTTTCTCAACGGCAGCTGTAAGCGGCGGTCGTGTCAGTGGCGGTCTCGTCGGCAAAACTAAGACCATCGCCGAACAAGACGGTTCTGCCAAGTTGTTCTGCCGAGTTCTTCGAGGAAGGCTCCACACCACTCTCTCACTTGAGTATCTTACCTAGATATTTTCTGATGATCTCATTTGCTCTTTTGTAGCTTTGGCAACTATGTATGTTTTCTATACCTGTTCTCTCCTCTCCCTGTAGGCTTTACAGACACCTCTTGGCTGCAACCCTTCCAATTTAGTGTACCCTGAGCGCACAACCCATGTGGAATTCCGGGTCTCTGGCAGCGTTTGGAACTGTCGATTTGGGGACAAGAACGCAGAGTTCATCTCTGCCTATGCTGCCCTTCAGTCCCTTGACTTTTTGGCACTGACGGAGACATGGATCACCCCAGAGAACACTGCTACTCCAGCTGCTCTCTCTTAATCTGACTACGTTTTCTCTCGTAGTCCAAGAGCATCTGGTCGTCGCGGTGGTGGTACAGATCTACTTCTTTCTCCTAACTGAAGATTTCCTATTTTTTCCCTCTCTCACCTGTCCATCTCCTCATTTGAATTCCATGCTGTCACTGTCACTTGTCCACTCAAGCTTAACATTGTTGTCATCTTTCGCCCACCAGGTGCCCTTGGAGAGTTCCTCAATGAGCTTGAAACCT